TGCTAGAAATCTAATCAAAAAGCATTTTAATGGCCAAACTATCCTACAATTTATGATTTTCCAGAGAGGGTTATTTGTGAATATACGACCCTCCGCAGCATTTGCAATCAACAGGAGCACTAGAGGTCGGAAACTTTAAAACGTGATTATAGGTCGTAATAAGCTGCTGAACAGTCGACCTATTTGGTCGTATGAGTTGGAGGACTTGTTGATCCATAAGGTTAGAAAAACTGAAATCTTACAGGGTTTATGGTTTCATAAACAAGGTAAAACTGGAGATGTGAAGATTAAAACTTGAACTGCAACTCAGACAGACAGAGCTCCTGTAATGAAAATGGTGAAATGTGTCTCTCCGAGCTCCACAGTGAGTTGAGCTCATATTTGAGTGATATTGACAGGACATCTGTTAAAGCGGACCGGGTGAGGAACCCTTTGAGTAGGACTGAGAGCAGTAGCAGCAGCAGGCTCGCTTGTCTGCAGAAACAGATGATGGATGCGTCCTTAGACTGTGGGCTAAGATTAAAGATACAGGCAAGACACTGTCACAGTGTCCGGACTTGAGGAAATATGACCTTAATAATCCCTTATCCTTTGGATTTCACTTTTTGTGTGAAGCAAGTTCCGCAGCTTTGACCCAAATACAAACAAGCAGAGGAACAGATTCAATGTGAAGAAGAGCCTGACTTCTGCTATGGTCAAACTGTTTAAAGATTTTAAAGACAAACAATCTGAGGTGCCTCATTGAAGGGAAAACAGTCTTCTTGGTCCATGTAGCATACTGTATTTCTGCTTTGCTGTTGATGAAAAGCTAGTTGAGCCTCACTGATAGGGCTTTGGAGTTGATAAATGCAACAAAGAAGGTCAGGAAATATTGCCCCAGAAGCCCTAAAATAACAATACTTCCATTAAAACAATATCTTTTTTGAGCACCACATTGACTGCAGAGCATTGGTCTGACCTTGAAACTCTTTGAGGCACTTCTTTATCTGGTTCTAATATATTTGTACAAGTATTCAACCTTTAAAACATTGAATAAAGAATGATTGCAATTCTCTGATTTGTGGTTACTTTGACTGCTCTTTCTGTTAGTTTAAAGGTCTGGGGAAATAAAATGATAAATATATTTGAAGAACTTGGTCAGGCTTGTTTTGGGTTTGAACCCCTGAAGGAAAAGACAACATCTGAGTGTAAAAACAGAGGTTTTGCACCAACATAGGAACAAACATTATTTATAATTGTAATAGTAATGTTTAATAATACTGCACACATGGTCAACACATCGGACCTGACACTTCCTAATGCTGTTTAATAATTTTTTGCCCTGGGAGTATTCTGAATTATAATTGTGAAAACAAACATTTGTGCATTTGCTATCTACATCTACAGTATGACAACAATGGGAATTATTATTGGACATTTTTGCATGACCCCTGAAGGGTGTTTGCATTTTGTGTGATTGAATATCTCATGATATCTGAAATACTTAACTACAATCTATTTATTTTTGACTCTTTATGTCAATTGTATTCTAAATTAGAAAAACTAATTATGTAATAATAATTCAAGGCAAATAATTAAGAACAAAGTTATCAGCGTTTAAAATGATTTTATCTCTCAATTATTTAATTTGTTTTCTATTTGGTTTAAGTTGTATTGCAGTTTGCAACAGTACTATAGTGCATCTCCCAGTGGAGGGAAATAAGATTTAGTAGTACTAAGCTTTGAATAATGGCAAGAGTGGGCCATGCTAATAGTTGGAATATTTCATGCTAAGGCCAGTAATAATGACAAAAGAAAAAAAGAGCATACCTTTTAGTTTGGTTCAGCAAAGCCGCTCTATCGTTAAGTAGTTGCTGTGCAAGGACCTCCAGGGAAATTAAAAACATATTGTGCCACAATTTCCCTGTGACTCAGAGCATCCCTGGGGAGAGGACTTTTAACATTTCTAATAAAGGAGACTTGAAATTATAGAGAGGGGACCTGGCATTGATTAAACTGGGGGTTTCAGTTGGGTCAACTTCTCATATTTATCTGTTTATACCCATGCTTTGGTCTCCTGTAAAGACTGTTTGGTGTATTGAGGTCACAGCTCATGGGTGAAACAAAGATGCCGATGTTCTCAAGTATGATACAGCGATGATTTATGTGTTACAATAAACTAAAATCATTACAGTAGGTGATAAAAACACATTGCAGTGCAGAAGGGCTGGGGAACATCTGACAAAGTTCTCTTTTATGTTACTTTGCTTCTATGAAATTTCATTAAGGTCCCTTTCGCCGTGGAGATTTTGCTCTTTAATTATCAGATTTTTAATGTCATCACCTCATTTGTCAGATTAACCTTTTGAGAGGGTGTGCAGTCCACTTCTGTTTTAAGAAGATTTTGTATCTTCTTCGAAAAAGACTTCCACCAGTATGAGTAATTATTTCTGCTTTACCAATCTACAAATGATCACTCACAAACTACCTGCCTTTTCGCAAGAGAACAAGCTAATTGCTAACTGGTTTCTGAGTCCACGGCTGCCTCCCAGCCATTACAAGTGGTTAAACAAGGCAAGACAGGCTGCTGCGACTTAGTAAGCTTGCTATAGTGGTAGATATCTCCACAACACAGTACATAAACATAATTGACATCAACACTGTAACATCTTCATATTCTGCTGATAATATTGCTTCATTTTTCGTTATTAACCTAATCCATACCCTGTCTTACACATTGCACATCAAGTCAATGTTTGATAAATCATTTACTTCTACGATATCTATTGTGGCAATGTTTCAAAAGTACTACTATCAGCTTTGTGTGTTTGTGTGTCATGTTGCTTGTCATTTCCTCTGGATGAATTCGCCTGCAGTGCTTACAGCGCAAGGATTTAATCAGTAATTTCCTGCTGTCATATCAATGGACAACTGCAGTTCATTGTGAACGTTATTTTGCTTTACCATGTTTATAGTGGCAATATTATAGACTTCATGCTTCCACATAACTTCCCATCTGCAATTATTTCCTTTTTGTCAATGGACTTTGTAACATCTTGACATCTGTAAACATCTCTCTGTAACACATCACATCATCTTAGGCCTTTTACGCTGTAAGGTCATAAATGCAGCAGACTGCTTGATATGGCCTAACCATTACTTAAATGACCCTCAAAACCTTTTGAACGCTCACATATTAACATGTCAGTATATTTATTTTGTAGGGCCGGGACTTTAACGCGTTAATTAAGATTAATTAATTACACAAAAATTAACGCGTTAAAAAAATTAACGCATTTTAATCGCACTTATTTTTGCACCGCGGAACGTTTCTCACTGGATGAGTTTCAGGGGTACCGATTATACTGGAGCACCAACTAACGTTCATGACTTCAAACAACAACAAACCACAGTGAACAATTGTCAAACATGAACGAACAAGCTGATGAGACCGCTTTGGTTGGCCCCGTGGATGGGACATTTTTGTTTTAAAAAACGGACGGATGGAAGCATCGATAAGAGCACGGTTGTTTGCAAATTATGCGAAAAGGAATTTGCATATCACCGCAGCACATCAAGCCTCAAGTATCACCTCAATGCAAAACATATAGCAGCTAGCGTGGAAGCTAGCGTGGACGTTAGCCCGACTCGGAGTACAAGGACCCACACCCAATTCGCGTTGATCAAACAGTGGCCTATGCAACAGAGAGATTTTATTTTTCATCAGGATATTGGAAGAATAGGAGGGATTGAGGTCAATCACTGGCACTTTTTTATTTTATTTTAAATGGTACAGTACACTTTATGTTGAACTATTTATTATGTTGTTGGTGCAACTGGCACTTTATGTTGAACTGTTTATTGTTTTGGCCAAGGTTATTGAGAGAGTTGGACTGAAATGTATTAGATTTTTTAAATCAACTGTTGGTAAATCAACAAAGTCTGTTATGGCCTCTGAAGCAACAAAGAGATGTTTTCTAATAGTCAGGGTTTCCAATGTTCTGAATGTACTTGAAAGTATTGTGTTATACTTAAAAAACAAAGTGTTATAGTTTACAGAAGGTTTCCCTACCTATAGGCTACCTGAATCTCTGAAATGTACTATATTCCTAAATATGCTGTTGCTACACTTTATGGCAAAAATTGCACTTTTCTGTTGGTCTTGGTTAAGTGCCACCTTGAAAAAAATAAACAATGTTTTGTTGCTTAAGCTTATATATTCAGTCATTATTCAATGGTATACTAAAATCCATGTGAAAAAAATTGCTTCTCACTGTTCTCAGGTCAAATATTTATATGTGATTAAAAATGTGATTAATTGCGATTAATTAATTACAAAGCCTGTAATTAATTAGATTAATTTTTTTAATCGAGTCCCGGCCCTATTATTTTAATTTTTTTGTAGTAGCCCTCATTCTTGTTTTTAATCTATTAGCCAATGTTAATTTCTTGATGGAAAGGTTCCGTCAGTTTTATGCAATTCCCCTCGCGTCGAGTCCACAAACTGCTCTGGCAAACTGAGGACCATTATACGAGAAGTAAACATCAGGAATGCCATGCGTCGCAAACAAATGCCACTGCAATAACAACACTACATCCCTTATTTTATGATCATTGGGAACTGCGAAAAGTACTCGACACATAGCAGACACTCAGATTCTAATCTCAGATTCAGAACAAAAGGCATACTGACACACTATCACCTCAATATGTGAGTTAATGTTTAGCCGATAAAATATGTCTCTGGCTCTCTCTTTACATTTAACAATTCCTCAGTGACTCATTTCTTGTCTCAGCTCATGTGGAACATGAGCTCTGCTGCTTTTAACATCAACCGAGACATATCAGAGAAATCATCAAGTGTCCATTATGGCTGGATTTCCTTTGGTTCTGCACTTCTTTTATTCAGCCATCCATTCAGTGTCTCCTGAACTTGTGCAGTTTTCCACCTGTAATGGGCAGCTGAGATGTAATCCGGTTCACATCCAATTCTTTCTCCAACAGATCTTCCTTCTACTCTTTGAGGAATGCTTGTCTTAAAGCATCTCCAGTATGAAGTTCCTTGTTAGCCAATTGGCGACTTCAAGGTATTGTCTTTGCAACGTAAGCAGCATTCTTTTCCTCATAGACAAATGTTAGTATCTCTTCCAAATCTAAAGGTACCAGCGCTGACGGTCAGTGATTGTTCTTGACCCATGTGCTACAAGCTTTCCTCTGGTTAGTATTAGTTTCAATGTCCTTTTAGTTGAAATCTACTCACGGTTTGATCAGTTTATTGACATCCTTTATGCTGAGCTCCTTTTCTTCGCTTCCCCCTAGTACAGGCGCTGATGTCTGAAAAGTTAGCCATGAATTTGGCAAGATACTTTTCTTCCCTCTAACCTCACAGCTCCTGCTTGTGTTTCGCTGGTGGTTGCTAGGTCAATGCCTGTTACGTGCTCCCTTTTCTGTTGTCTTCTCTGTCTCTCTGCTGCGCAGGTACACCTGGTCCGCCCCTGGCTCCGCCTCCCCCAGGTGTCCTAATTCCATTCAGCTGGGGACTTAAAAAGGAGAAGCTGGAGGAGAAGAGGTCTCTCCCCCGATCCTGATGCCGGAAGACACTGTTCGGGAACAAGCTAGCGGGTGTTCCGGATCTGTAGCTTCTGAGTGTTATAATGATAAACTTGTGTGTTCTGGAGGATCTGTTAGTATAGTTTTTTCACGGCTTTGTTTGTTTTGTTTGTTTTGTTAGATTCTTGGGTAGGGGAGGGACGTCTGGGTCCTACGGCCCGTGGTGTGGCTGGCCCAAGGCCCCCTTCTGCTTTTGTTTATTTCTACTAGTCCTCCAGGCCTCGTTCTTTTGCCAGTTGGCCTATGTGTTTTACGGCTGTAACCCACAAATAAATGGTCGCGGTTAAGTGTTGAATGTTTGGTGTGTTTTCTTTTATGTTGTGGGTCTCCCCACGAGCCACTACCACTGAGTAGAGGGCGGGTCTTAACATATGGGAGCTCGTCCAAAGGCTGTCTTGGGCAGGTGCCGGTGTGTTGTGAGTAGTGTTTCTTTTGTAGAATGGCCCTTGGCATATGTTTTTGTTTGTTTGTGTGCAGTGTAGAGTTGCCTAAATAGCCTACCTGGTTACTGGTTTTAGGGTTGTTGTTTTTTTAGGGTGAGTTTCAACGTGTAGATATGGATTTTGACTTGGAGGAGTTTGTTAGTGATCTAACTAGGGGGAAGTTGGATGCATGTAACAAACAACAACTTGAGCTAATCACAGGCAGGTTTAACGTTGCGTTTAGTAAGCAAAGCAAGAAACAGGTCATTAAAGAACAGCTGTTGGCCGCGCTGGTAGAGCAGGAAGTGTTATCGGAGGAGGAAGGGGGCGTTGGTTGTTTTCCCAAAGACGAGGAGACAGAGGTCGCTCCGACAATGAGCGAGCTTCAACTTCAGCTGGAGTTGCACAAGCTGATGATTAGAGAGAAGGAGATTGACAATAAACTGAAAGAGAAGGAGATTGACTGTAACCTCGAAATAAGGAAGCTTGAGGAGGAGACTAATCGCATGTTTCGTTTGAAGGAGCTGAAGTTGACGGCATTATCGCGCCAGACTCAGCAGTTGGGCTCGGCACAATCTCATGACTTTGACGTGGGTAGATATACTCGATTTATCCCAGTGTTTCACGAGAGAGACATTGATAATTATTTTGTCCTTTTTGAACGGGTAGCAACAACATTGAAATGGCCTAAAAACGTGTGGACCGTTATGCAACCCTGTCTCCTAAAAATGACGTTCCCACAGAACTAAACTGCATTCTCAATTACGTTTAGCTAGAAAAACGTAATTGAGAATGCAGTTTAGTTCTGTGGGAACTTCATTTTTAGGAGACAGGGTTGCGTTATGCTGCGGTGCGTTCTCACAGGTAAAGCACAGGAGGTGTGTATCACTTTGTTCTCATTCGGTCACTCAGCGCATCAAATGTGCCTTTTGTAATTGACGTCCGTTGTCATGTTTTGGCACATGTTTTTTTGCCCTTACTCTCACCAACAAACTTCTTACCCTGTGGGCATTCCCCCTAAGCAAGTCTTCAATTGTCTTTTCAAATGCATATAAAAAACAAATCTGTGGGGCTATTAAAGGTACCCATGTTTGAGCTTTCACCATGTTTTATCTTCTGGAAGCCAACCATTAGCATCTGGCACAGAAAATATGTTTTTTCATTTAGCATAAAGGGAAGTACATCCTCAAAAGGCAGAAGTGGATAGTGTGTAACCGTGTGGACCATCTGTATGAGGTACTGACTGGTACAGTAAGCCGCCTATTCCATTAAACAGATCAAAGTATTTAGGTTATTTTCCTTTTTAACATCATGGACTCATTTCACTTCACTTCCATCATGTTATATCAGTGGTTTCTGGAACATCGTGATGTAAACTGCCCCCTGTAATCGCATGAGAGTGCCTTTTTGCCCAGTGGTCCTATCCAACCATAGAAGACAACACTTTAGCTTGTACTTGCCCTAAGCCTGTCTCTTTATTCTGAATATTTCGCATAGTTTATATTCCTTATATTCTGTCCCTGCAGACTCCATCACCCTGTTGTAGTTTCCATTCTCCTCTCCCCTATGACGATGTATTTTTCACTCTCATTCTGCTCATTTGCACTCACCAATTCCATGCTGAGGCTGACTCGATTCTTCACATCTTTGAAAAATGACTTTACTTGGCGTGAATCATGTCTTTCCAATTCCAGGACTCCTTGTTCCATTTTCACAGCTACGTTTACTGCAATTTGTTTGTTTTAGTTTTAAGATGTACTCTGTTTGCTTTTATTTTTCTGTCAAGGCTTGACTGTTATTATTCAATTGGCTTCCACTTCTTCTGTCAGTTCTTTGATTTGGCTTAATGCAATCTGACTTGCACGGTAGATACTGATCGCTTTTTTAATATAAAATCTGCTTCTTTTAACAGTCTGCCTCTCACCTGGCTGTTTGTTAAACCACATACTATTACTAGGAAATCCAGATCCACAATCTGTGGCTTTATTTTCTAAATCAGTGATGTCTATGATCTGGTGATCTATAAGTCTAACAACTGATAAAACAATACCCAAAGCAAAAGCACAAACATGGGTCCAAATGTAGACTACTTCAAGGTCTTCAAGATATTTCGTTTTAAATGTTCTAGAGAGATGAAACAGCTTTGTAATCCCACATATACGAGGCTGTCAATTTGAAACAATAAGTGTCATCTTGTAGAAACGAAACAATTTACAATGGGTGTCAGCGTTCTCAACAGTAACCTGAGGAGAAGCATGTGGCGTCATGTGCCTCAGTTCTGGTACACACCATGGTTGCATGACTTTAATTACATTGTCGGTTTGGCAGAGCAGTGGCACATCCATCTTATCTGTTAAGCTTCATGCAGCAAACCCCCGAACCTCAACAAAAACCTCTCAGCTGCCACAAGTACGGCACATATTCTGCTCTCTGTTTGTCAATACAAAGTGAAAAGCTTTCTTGTCATTGAAGAATCTCACCATCTGTTCTGTCGAATCTGAAATAATGAACACGTATGAAATGTTCACAACCGACATTTTATGGAGATTAAATGTAGACAATTAAACTTAAAACAACGTGTTGACATTATGTAAATCGGTTAACGTATTTGAATAAATAAGGAAATATACTGTAAGTCACAACTAAATTGTATTGATCCACATGTGGTACTTGGCTTGCTGCAGCAGTAACATTATGGCTAATACTAATGATATGGATTATATTGTAGTTTCACAGCCATAATACCTCTAAGTAGACTTTTTATGAGCATAATTGATTCTGTGCTGCAGATTATCACATCACCATTATACCCATCATCACAGCATAACAAACTTGCAACTTTCTATTAGTCAATTTGACAATAAAGAATGTGCTGTGTCCCAGGCGAGCCTTTGTTTAGCATTACAGATTAGGCTTTAACAATGTTTGATTAAGCTTAATTGAAGATAAGGCCATGCTTTATCTCTAGCTCAACAAACAGCAGGGTAGAGCCAAGTAAGAGTGATGGATGGTTCCTCCTAGCTTCTCTTGTTGTTTGTTTCATCCCTCGCTGTGTTTAAAAATGACCCTTCAAAATGGTACCAAGGGTGGAAACTAGTGTTCTCGTCTGCGCTGAAAGAGGACATGCTTGCTTGAGTAATCCTTTACCATGGCTTTTACAAGGGCCTTTCTTGGCACCAAGGCAACCCTTCAATATCGGGTATGTGCGCTATCCCCTTTGGGTAGGCTGTTGATGGCTTTCCATCCCTGTATGAGGGCTTGCTGGCAGAGATGGAGGAGGCATGGGAATGCAGTGACATTGATTTCTTCATCCCAATGCACACGCTGATGTATTGACTGCCGTACCGATCAGTTAGAGACATTCGGTTTGCCATTGTTTGGTGGAGCTGAAAGACAGCGAGCAGAATTGTATCAGACTTAGCCACCGAGTCAAAGGCCGTTCTCATTTCATTTCACTGGAACATTGCTTTCTTTTTTCTAATTCCTCCAGGAGAAAATTCTACTTGGACTGTTTTCTTCTTTAAATGTTGCCGCAGTCAGTCTTGACTTACTGTTAAAGCTATGATCATGAGAAATGTGATTATCCTGAGGGGTGTCTGAGTGCGAACAGTGGGCTTGTTCTTCTGTGTTGCACTCACTGTCATTCACCCGCAGTCAGCTGCTCATGTTTAAAATGTCTGTGGACTCTCTGAAGGGTGGAGACGCGCCCAGAGAGCCTCGAGTAGAGCCCACAGGGCCTTCCCTCTTTCGTCACAGTGAAGAGTCTCTGATGCATGGGGCTTTGTTATCATATTTTAGTCATTTCAATGGTGTCCCCGCTTGCTAATGATAAATCATACACTGCACACAACTCACAGGCTGCTGGGTGTTAAGGCGTCTGAGGTTTTTTTTTTTTTTCAGAGGTATATTTTGCAGCTTGTTGTCACGGCACAGCTGAAATAAACATGCGCCGTTTCTGACATCTGTCAAAGTGAATTATAGATGTCGAGAAGAGTTGCAGAAGTCACAATTCTTCTTCTTGGTTTACAGCTTTGTTGTTTGTTATAATAAGCCATGCGTTCCTAGTGCTTG